CCCCATAAGGCTAAGGAGCCTTATGGGGGCACTTCACCTCCCTTTGATGTTTTTCTGAATTTACTCAATATTCAAAAATACCCTTGTATTTTTGAATATTGAGTAAAGATTAGAGCAAATGGCACTAGCATGCGCGGAAGGTCACCAAAGCGATGGACCAAACTTTGATCCATCCATCTGAAATCAGTGAATACATTCCTTACTTCAGTGTTTAGAATTTTCATACAATAGATTCTCCCCATTCAGTGCTTACATCACAAACTCAGGACTTGGTCTTTTACATATACGTATAATATCAATAAATTCCGTGTACCCAGTACCAATATTGAAAATCAATATTCCTTCGTACTTAGCTGGTTCCATCTACTCGGAAAGTATAAGCCAATTTCCAATTTCTATAGGGATTATTAAGTGCTAAAGGAAAATTTTATAAGGAAAATATGAAAGGATCAAAATATCTATATTTGCAGTATTTTATATTATTCTTCTTATCGATGGCATTCACTATAATGCTATATTTTATTGAATACCATATTGTCTACCATGGAATTCATAATTATATTTTTTGTGAAAATATTCTACTAGTTTAGTGTTATTAAAAAAATGGGAAAAAAAGAAAATAAATCCTTCGAATTAAGTCGTTTAAATAAAAAACAAATATCGGCAACAAGCACATGAAGAAATTCGCGTGGTCTGCTGATTCGTTCCGTAGCTCAGTTGAGAAAGCTGTTAGTCTCGTTCTGGCAAACAGGCGCTGTTTCGTATCCAGCCGGATCGAAGGAATTTTTCTTTGTACCTAACACAAAGAAAAATTCCTGTTTGTATCAATAATACTATCTATATTTATTAACAATATTTTCGTATTTGCAATAGTTAGAGAGCAAAAGTATGTTATGTGTTTAAGAATTACGTTATTTGTGAAAGTAGTTAAAGGGATAATAACGAAGCGAAGTTACAAAAGTGATCCACCAGTCAGAGGATAAAGTTATTTCGAATTATTGTATATTAGTTTTGAATCAATTCTGTTCAGTAAAAATATTTTAAAAGATATATACATATCTTTTAAGATTTTTTTACTGTTTTTTTATTGATTTATTTATTAGCAACACTAATATTATGTTCACAAATACTTTTTACCTTATTTGACTCGGGTGTTCTACATTGCAAACACAACAATTATAAGTGTTGAAAGCAATCTCAAATCAACCTACTTGATCGTCGGCGCGCGTGACATTTGATACCTGTCACTTTTCTAATCAGTTGGTATTTTTTTATTGTTTACATTACGGGCGGCGATAAGACATGTATAATATAAACACTTGAAAGTCAAGAATCTATTAAGCTACTGTAAAAAGAATATATATATAGCGATAAGAGCATTTAAGTAGCTTTTGTTTAGACTACAGTTATGATTGTAATATGACGACTTTATTTGTTAATTTCTGAGTACACTGAACACTTCTGAGAAATTTTCATAGTATTTTACGCTTTAACTTCTAATAACTTTGTATATACTTACACTTTATTAAGAAACAAAACATATATAACGATGACAAGGATATAAATACCTATCGATTAACACTAGATTCATATGAAAATAATGTGTAACTATTTTTAAAATAAATTGATAACAGTCGCGGGTTGCGACGAAAATCGAGAAAATTTGCGAAAATGGCGTAAAAAAACTATAAGTCGCGAGGAAGAAAATTCACGATTGTATCACAACTCACAATGTAACGACCTAAAAAAGGTTTTAATACAACCTATATTGAATAAAGTTATGTTTTTGAGTGAAATTTTACTCCAAAAAGTATTTTAATAATGAATAAGTTTTTTTTCCAAAAAACAATCACTAGGTGCAATGACCTCCACTTTGATGACCTTTTTTTCCAATAAGATTGTGATTCCCATAAGATATCAAATGGTAAAGTTTTAACACCATCTGAAAAAGCACATCCTGACGATCATTTTGATAAGTAATAATTACAGAAATTAATTAATAATGTCATCTATCACAATTAAAGTCTTCATCAAACACTAAACGTCAACAATCCCACCAAAGTTTCTTTTTTCACATTTTTTTCTGTTACAGAGACGCATCATGAATATTTGTTTCTTTATATTAAAAATTTGGTGTTAATACATGTGGTAACACCAAAGTTATTTGTAAAACAGTTCACCAATCGGGTACTGTAATTTACTGGTAACTATAGTTACCAGTGACCTTTGACCAAAAGTGAACATTTTGACAGTTACTGATAGCTATAGCTGCCAATAACTGTTCAGTGGACAATCTTTCGTATATTAAAATTTTCGACAAATTAAAAACAAATTATCTAATTTAAATTAGATAGCAACAGAATGTACTGAGAAGTATCGTAGGACCCTATAATTAATTTACTTTTGAAGGGAATCGATATTATCACTAAATACATCTAAAACAGGACGGCTAATACTTCTTTCGTTGTAAGTGTTACACATTCGATAGGCGAGATATTAGTACAACAATAGGGATCATGCTTTGTTACGATGTAAATATCCATTTGTGGATTATATTTGCTATAATCACAATCAAGCTTTATTCGGTGCGTTCCCTGCGAATTCAACACGGAATTTTCTTCCTGTAGACATTTCTAAAAATAGGCAGCTCAAATAAAGTTGCTTGTCGTAACATATCTCGCCACGTTACTGAGTTTAACGCAATTTGTTTCCCTTAATTATAAATAAAAGTTACTCTATAAAGTTATATGGATTTTGTAAGCAATCAATGATGTCAAGCGGCGTCTGGCGCTTTACGAATGCTTATGCCGAGTTTCGTTAGTGATGGGCAATTGAAACAAGCGAATTTGACAACATTTTTCTATTAAGGCTAATAGAAAAATGTTGTTTTTTGTTTGACAACATAATCTAAGTCTATTGAAATCATTAACAATAACTTTAGCAATCTTTCTACGCGTTTGATGTCATTACATTGGTTATCATCAACACGATATCAGCAACTTGGATCAAAATACGTACACGTACGTACACGTATTTTGATCCAAGTAGTAGTGTAGTACTTATTTTTCACGCATACCTTAATATTCGCTACAAAAAGGGTTCTTTAATCTAACTTCAGTTTCGTAAGATAAAGCCGGCGCGACGATAAAATATTTCCATTCATCAACTCCGTTATATTACCAATAACACTTCAACATTAATCGGAAAGGCCTGTAATCATTCTATAGCCTCTGTTGTACTTGGAATTACACCCTTAATAGTTTCGAGCAGCTGCAATTGATGTGGTATAAAATTTGAGTAAGTAAATGGAATTATTATTATTATAATTAGGTATCTATCTGTTTCATTGTTTTGTTGGTGTTCAATATTTAGTCAGTGTTAATCTCACATTTTGTATTTGCTTTTTCCTGTACGAAGAGATATTGTATATGATATTTATGTGATATTTAGTAGCAATCTTTGATCTTAGACACAAGATAATGTTACGTTTCGTATTCGCGGATACGTTTGAAATCTGTCGCGCGACCTATATAAACCTTTTCAAAAAATCGCGCGTCATTTGCATTGCCGGGGACATAGATGATTATGATTTTGTTGAACAGAATGGACATTCCGAAAAGTAGATAAAAAGTAAAAAACAATTGAAAAAGGAATACCAATTTATTTTATTAAGTCAAATAGAGTTGTCTAGCTTGGTACAATGCTATTTCTTAGGTAATAAATAGATTTGTTTGTTGTGTCAAAGATTTCCACAACCGTCGTGTGTTCTTTCGCTATTAAATATAATTCTGCCCTCGGAACAAAATAAGGCACAACTGCTGTATAAAGTACACATAGTTGTGCCTTTTTTCGTTACGACCGCAGAATTGGTCTCCTAACAAACGAGTATCTATTTAACGACGATGAAATCGATGCTTAAGCAGATGCTTATATAGATATAGATCAACTTAAAAATGATTCCTTAATGATTAGTGCTAAGATATCAAAAAAGAATGTTGATATGTATGCTAAATATATATACAATTTGAAGACTCAATTCAAGGAACACGGTATAATATAGTTTTTCAAAAACTGAAGTAATCGAGGTGGTTCAAAAAAGGCACTCTTAAAAGCATTCATTAACGCGAATGTTTTCAATGAATTGAATTATCATGCTATGGCCTGACACGTACTTTTAATAATCTTACACATTTATTTAAGGGTATAGAAATAAGGGACGGATGTTTTGAACAGTTACTTTTTTTTACTTTTCTTTCTTTCTTTCTTTCTAACAGAAAATTAATTCTGCGTTAAAAAAATGTAAGAGTTAAGTTGATGTTTTTGGCTTGTTAATTTGCAATTTAATAGAAAAATATTTATTTTTTAATTCTGTGTTCTGTCATATTGTAAGAAATTATTGTACACTGCATGTGTAGCATAAAAACGTACGTTATAAATCTCGGGGTCGATTCAGAACCTTACGATAACTCAGTTGTCGACCGATTTCTTTTCATTTTTATTCACAACACCCGAATCAAACGTCAAACTGTCGTATTCGAAACCGAACGGAAATGAGTTCACACCCGTACGATTGCTCTAACTTTTCGGCCAGCAAAGGCTACAAACGTTATTCAGAACACAATTATCGAATGAAAGATGCCGAACGTCCTATTGTTTACAAAGCAAGAATGTAATATGAAATGTCTTATTATTTTAAATTAAGTCTGGATTTTCTTCAATTTTATTATGTTATTTTAATGCAAGACGTTAGTCTTGCATTCCTATATTTCAGGCCTTTAAAGTCTTAAAAATGTACATAAAAGGATTTTCATTTTTCTTATAATCTATATTCGCCGACTAATTTCGTTGTTGGATGACGATATCGTATCCGAATCCGAAACGAAAGATAACTCGTCATGTTCTGAATAGCTCGGAAAACGCCCTTTGATTCGAGAACGATATCCAATCGAACGATTCGGTTAAAATATCGAAGAGTTCTGAATCGGGGTCCTGTATAAATAAGACTTCCGCGTACAATACCGTCGCTCATCTGCCAAATTGATGACTTTACTGCCTACAATGTTCGTATAAACCTATAATCCATGACTGAAGTTCATGCGTCCTTATCGCACTCACTACATAAATAATTCACTCTGTTTTAAACTGTTTTAATTTATAATTAACATAAACAGAAAAATAAATAAAATATAGAAATAATGTAAATATTTTTGCTAAACAACGCGTAATATGTGATTATTTGTCTTTTATTTACTGTAACTTGGTAATTAATGAATTTTCTAAATAGGTACACATTATGGCATTTTTCTTGAAATTTGAATAAAATGACGCAATTTATAATGTTAGATTCGTCTTTTTTTGAGGAATACTGTTTGCGAGATCATACAGTTGTCTGATTTTCAAGTTTTCAAGATGCGGATCTTAACATATCTGCTTTTTTTACGTATAAGATTATTGGTAGCAATAAAGCTCCTTGTTCTACCACAAGGAGCTTTATTGCTATTGCTATTATTGTTCGTCCAGCGAAGTAGCCACCTTACTTTACTTACTTACTTACTTTTAACTGCCTCCGTGGCCGAACGGTTACCATGCCGGACTGCTACGCAGAGGTCCCAGGATCGATTCCCGGGCCGGGAGAAATATTTGTATGACCTACATTTATTTCTCTCGTGAGTTTGGGTGTAATTTGTGGTTGTCTACGTGTGTGTCCATGGCACCCGCGACACAGGGTTTCCCTAGTGCGGGGCTATGTTGATTGTGAGCGTTGTGAGCGTTACTTATTTCTGCCGCCAAGCAGTAATGTAAGCATTACTGCGTTCCAGCGTTCCAGTGTTGAAAGGTAAGGGTGCTGGTAAAATTACAGGCACATAGGACTTGTCAGACGCAGTGGCAGTACCTCTCAGATCTTTACGATTTAAAGCTGCAACTGCTATGTAAGTAGTGTCGCTTATCATCATGCGCACGATTTGTTCGTCCCGTGACTTGGTATCATAACAAGAAAAAGATATTGTACTCGAAATGTTTCCTTCTCATTGTTTTCGTTAAAATTTGCAACAGGACATAGAAGAAGAGGAGCTGTTAGTTTGGAATAAATCGAGTGTTTTAACCTAAAAACGTTAATTATGTTTGGAAATTAAATGGCCATCGTGGTCACTAGACGTACAATTAATGTCTTTCCATAACTGCTCAAAAGTGTAATACCAAATACCGTAGTGCCTATGCAATAATATAGGTACTTACTAGATCTTATTCGAAGCGCAGCGAGCGAAGCAAGCTACACTTTATTGGCATTCACTTAAATTGCACAATTTACGACCGAATTGCATAAAATTTGAAATCAGGATACCAAATACAATTCTAACCAAATTTTAAATTTCGATCTATGTCTTAATATAATATACAATTAAGGTCAAAGGTTGCCATGTTAAGCGTTTGGGAAAATAATTTAATTCTAAGTTTTCCGCATGCAAATGTACAGAACTGTGAGAAAAAAAGATAAAAAAAGACTGTTGCGCTTTGGTAGGGAATCGACATTTCGCCTAGTCGATAGGGCTGTAGTTTTATTACCAAAGTACATTTCGCTAAGTCTTGCACCTCCATGTTTAAATTACTTGACATTTTTACGCTATGCATTTCATTGACGGTTTAAAATAAAATTGTAGGTAAATGATAAATTATACGTAAATGTAATTTAAAATCATTCATGTATATTGAATGTGATAAAATGTCGCACTGGCCATTTTCATTGTAACTGTGTTTATAAAAAGGTATTTTGCGAGAAACTATATTCATCTCTTTTACAAAATTGAATCAACAAATGATTACCTGTTTACTTTTCTGTAGCTAAAATTTAAATTCATTTGCAATACTTTGAACCGAATACACTACTAAAGTGGACGCGAGTGTAAATCTTCACCACAATAATATCAGTGTATAACATCAGTTCTATTTAAACCCTTCCCATGTCCTTGCAAGCGTTGACGGCGCAGGATCTGTCGCCAGAGCGGCTGAGAATTGCAAAAGGTTCTAATACGCCAACCTTGCTCAGTGCTATAGCTTTGTGCCTTTTGCAGAAACTCTGGGTCCCTGGGGGCCACAGGCGAAAACTTCTAGCAAATGAACTGTTGGATCTCCTCGTAAATGCCTCCGGTGACCAATATGGAATAACCTGTCAGTTATTTCCGTCAAAGAATAAGTTTATTATCATATTATATCGAGATTTACTGCAATTTTAAGAAGTGTAATTAGAATGTAAGAAATTGTACTTAATGACCATGTTTTTAGTTACCACAGAATGTACTTTATTTATAACTACGGTATTTCATAAAGTTGTTATGTTTATTAAAACCTATTTATGACAGTCTTCACGTAATTCCGACTGGTGTCATAAGTTGTGATATTGTAACATAATTTAAAACTCACAGTAAGTAGAAAATTGAAGTTAAAAGAAATTGGAAATAATTTTGTCTGCTAAATGATTATAAAATACATTTTTTTATCCTACTCTTCAAGTTGTCGTTTCAATTTACGATTGCTCTATCTCTTTTAAAAACTGAATATTGGTCTGACGTACGAGTATTGATCTAAGATAATATTGTATATAATAATTTGACACTATTATGATAAACTGGCATGTATGATGGTAGTGGAGGAGGCCAAAGAGGTTTGTCAGGAGCGTATCAGTAGCAAATCTGGTCTCTGCTACCTCCGGCGGGAGACAGGCGTGATGATGTCTAGGTATGATACCACTAATACAGTATGAGTGCCCACTGTGTGTACGCTCACTCGCTCAGTATCCCATTTAAGGCAATTATTTCCACAAAGACTAAACTGGTTGTATTATTAATTACTCTATGGCATTAATATTATTTTGAAATTGAGGCTTATTAGATACGCTGCCATGATGTTACAAATTTAATATGATTTGAAAATGAAAACGAAACTTAGGTTCATTTTTTATGATGATTTGGGCAAAACGAGGTGAGGCGCGAGCACAAATCGATCTTAATAAGACGGCGACAAGTTCAGAATGCTAGCTTTAGGATACAAATACATATTCAAAATTGTTTCAACAACACCCACTATTTATATATATAAATTCCTAGAATAATAAATATCAATGTCATATCTGTGATACATTAGGTACCTCATAATAACCCAAAAATAATTAATTATTGTGCCTCATTCCAAAGAAAATTAAAACTCTTTGATTTTTTAACTCTATAATTTTTAGAGCTAGACGTCTAGTTAAACTAAAATTTCAATAATCATTACGTTTAATTATAAATTTATTTTGAAGGAAGCTTTGAGGCCGCCTTTTCCCATTTTCCTTTGAACCACTCGGTTAACAAGACTGCATTATACATTTATGACTAAGTTTATATTGTTTTCCCTTAGTAACTTTGGGTTTCTTATTCCTAAATAATTTTTTTGTCTTAAGCTATTGCTAGTGCAACTAAAGATATACTTACGTCAAAGGAAAGTCGTTGGAAGTGTTGGTAGATTTACGCTCGTGGACGGATTTTCGAGAGCGGCCCCGAGCCGCGGCTATGATGTAGGCCCACATGGTTGTGGTGGTAGTGTACTCTCCACATGAGGCTGAGCTGCCGAGTTTAAAATATTTGTTTTTAATTTGAAAAGAGATCACAGCACAAGGAAAAAAATATTACATAAATTTTTAATATCGAGTTCTTAGGTTTTCGCGATTGTTACACCTAGGAAATGAAACTATTTTTCCGGATTTAAATCGCGTATATTTGTTTTTTCAAACAAACCGACGTTTCGGGCCCTTTACAGGTCCCATGGCCACGGTTGACTGAAACGTCGGTTTGTTTGAAAAAACAAATATACGCGATTTAAATCCGGAAAAATAGTTTCATTTCCTAAATTTTTAATGTTCGATTTTTTAAAGCTGTCATTGTTTTGATTTGTGCGTTGTAATAATTGTATATCACAACTGCCAAATCTATTAGTCCCCGGCTTTGGGCGACACCTTTCTTATGTTCTACTCTTAAAAAAAATTAAAAGGATTTTTTTGAATTTTCAGGAGAATATTAGAAAAATACAACACGTCGTTATACACTTATTTACCACTGGTCCTTGTTGTGCCTTTGAAGAGCTTTTGATTGGTATGATTATATAGTATTATGTTACCGGTCACCATTAAGAGCTAAAGTATCGAAGAAGATTTACACGTGACTTGTCATATAACTTTTACTTAATACGACATGTTTTTCTACATTCAACTCGTAACCGATTCCCCAGTGACCCGAGGAAGGAAGCTTCATTATCAGAAAAGCATGTGCTAGCTACCTATTTTATTTTTCTTATTCGTATATAAACAAAGAAGACAAGTAATTAACTACATATCACGTTACATGACTTTCCGTGGAAAGCTTGGCTAAACTTGGTTAAAAGTTAGTATTTTGTAACTTGAATATCATTAGTCTAATCATGAAATGTTTTGAAGGATGCAGACTGTTGAAGGTTTATGTATACGAGCTGAAATGGGACAACATACATATACCTACAACACTTTAAAATTCAAATCTAGCCGAATTGTCCACTGTAAGATTCATAGGTATAGTTTGCTTATGGCTTACCAGAACAAGATGTCGTCTGAAGCTGGTAAATGTAGTCGGTTGCCGGGTGTCGTCAAATAGCGCTGTATAAGAATGTCCAGGGAAAGAGTCTTGTCATAAGCTTATGAACCATTCATCTTGTAATGTTGAATTTTTGAAAACTCTCTATACGTGGAATAGAATTTGGTATGATTTCTTATCTTAATCAAAGGTGGGTTGGTTTTTAAAGGGGGTCATAGAACATTCTTCATGCTATATTTATTTATTGAAAATCAAGATGATTTTCATTTTCATTCATTTGTTTGTTGTTATTAACACAGATCAAACAACACAAAAAAAGTCCTTCGATGTCTCTGTCGTAACCAACTGGGCTACAGTTTGAGTCAGCACAATTTACGAATTCCTCTGTGCATTTGTTACAGATAGTTTGGGTTTAAATTTCTCTCTTGTCGTCAGCGTTACATATGAGAAACTTTTTACTATAGGTACTATTTTTTATTTATTTAATCATATATACATATATTGCGCAGTAAAACACAGAAACACATTTAGTAACAAGGAAAGCACAAACAAAAGGCACTGCTTATTTCTGACAGAAATTTCTACCTGCAGACCTAACTAAAGGACAGGACACAATAATTACAATGACGGGTTTACGTGGACAACAAAACAAAAATTATGTATTAAAAAAAACAATATCAAAAACGTTAAATTATTAAATATTTCGTACTTATAATACCTATAAAAAGTATGGGACTCGATAATTAGTGCTGAGAATTGCGAAAGATTTACTATCGTCAACAGTAATGGGAAGTGCGTTGCGAAAGATTTACTATCATCAACAGTAATGGGAAGTGCGTTCCAAAGTCTGACCGCATGAACAGTGAAGGAGTGAGAATGAAAACTGGAATTGCAGGATAGAAAAGATAAGTGGGACCTAACGAGAAAGCGACAGGGCTTATCCTGGAGCCTGAGAAAGCTGAAACGTTCTTTCAGATATTTTTTTGTCATAACAGACATTGGCTCGAGTTCAGTCAGGTGGAAGGAATTTTTCCTTGCGTTGTTCGACCTTTATATCAATAATAATTCTTTACGCTTTCAAAAACTCTGACTCCTCTTCCAACATAAGATTTTATAACTTCACACACGGGACTGTGAGATAACTCAAGATAAGGTTCAGTGTCTACAAAGGTACCACACATGTATAGCAATTGCATGCGTTGTCCATCGTTGGACATGCTTAAAAGCGCTAACTGGACGGCGTCTAATACTCCAAATAGATTTGTCTAGAAAGATTTCATTCAGCTCCGCACAAATTACTCATAATAACTACTCCTAACGCCACACCTTTTTTTATCACACCTTTTCCGCTAAATAAGTCATTTGTATATGCCTTGGCTATATTAATGTCACATGTGAACATACGTCAGAAGTGCTTTTATCGCGGGTGAATCTTAAAAAGAATACGAACTACATGAAACAAACTCATTCAAAAGTGCTTTTATCACGTGTAAATCATAATAATAATATAAAGAAATACATGAAACAAATTATGCTTACGTGAAGTATTGTTAGTCCTCTGTTTAAGCATAAAAAATATCGACTAATTTTGTTCGCAGAATCATAAAACCTCTCTCCTGAAAAGCTATTTTGCGGACGTGACCTTATTACACGGTGCAAAATATTAATAAGTTATATAATTTACATATATTGCATCTCTTATACAGTGATTAATACTTTTATAAATTAATTGTTTTCAATGATGAAATGATTTGATACCTACTGAGATTTTATAACTTTTCTATTTAAACATAAAAAAGTTATCGAAATAATTATCGTTCGTGGAATCTTAACACTTTTCCCGAAAAGTTGTTATTTCGTTGATGTGGCTTTATTACACCAAGTGTAAAATGCTGTATTAGGTATCTTGGTTGTATCTTATTTAGCATTTTTGCCTTATACATTACTATGTGTTTATGTTACACAGCTTTTCGCACTTCCACCTTATGCAACGTGCTAGAAATGCGAAGTTCCATCACGAGTAGATAGTCCGATTGATTTATTAACAACCGTACCGATAAGAATCCACTTGATATTTTGTGAGCCTGATTGATAAAATCGTCAAAGTACCTACTGACAATTATTGGCATTGATTTTCATTTTTATTGTCATTCAATTCGCGAAGGCGCTCTTTCATTTAGCGAATTAACGTTTCTGTAAACTTTTATTAGTTAATTTGACTTTCACATTTCTGTGAAAATGTCAAAGCAGAATGGATCTATGATTTTACGTTCTGATTTTAAAAATACGTAAAAGAAAAGACCGGACAACATCAGCAGGCAATTATGTACGGCAGTATACTTAAATCTAAAGATTCTAAGGATGTCATGAATGTTAAGCAGCTTTTAAGTGAACCTTAACACGCGGTTTCATTTTAATGCGACGCTTATCGGTCTTGCAAAAGACGTGCTTTTCTAAATTGACACAGTTTTCAATTTAAAGTTTATAAATCCTGGCCTCGGTTTTTGGTTCGTTTTTTTAGCATTATTGTAACTATATTCTGCCTTTAAAACGTCAACAGCCAATAAGTTTTAAAATAACTTATTCAGAAGCGTTAAAAAGCAAAAAATGTTTACTACTCTATGTACCGATACCATTTTTTTTAAATTTTTAGAATATGATCACTGATAAATTGTAATGACTCTTCATTACACGATTAGATATACTTATATAAGGTTAATCAGCATTAGATTATGGTTATTTAAGCGTGAATACAAAAAACATCTTTTGTCTGAGCAGATATGTCTCGCTATATAGATATTTCCCTATCGATGGGTTTGATACCTGTAAATCTGAATTTCCGTACCTATATATATTCATATTTGGTGTCTATTGTTGTAATTTAATATTATGTTTGTAAACTTACATTATTATTTACATTGCTTATATACATTACTTAGGGTCAAGTGGTTGACAGTGGGTCTCTTTTTTTGGCCGTCGATTACTCGGAAACTATCAGTCGTAATTACTTGAAAATTGGTTGATGTATAGTGTACCGGAATATCAGTAATTTTAGTATCCATCATTTAAATAAACAGCGGAAAGCGCTATTTAAATAAAAATTAATTGGTCCACTTTGTACAAGGGTGTATGCAGACTGGATCACCCCATGGTCTACAGTAGATCATAGAGTTGTTCAGAGGAAATGAAATACATTTCATACTCGAATCAATGTATTATATTAACGATAAACAAAAACAAAACAATCTGCTGTTTTTCCCCTCGTAACGTATAAGCCCCAGAACAAACAAAATTTAAATATATTATTCCCATTACGCCATGCCTACATAATTATTAGTTTTTCTTTTTAATTTGTGTTTATTATTAATTATATCACTGAATAATATCGCTCTAAGCAAATGTAAAGAAGCAATGACTTCTCCATAATTGTAATAAAAATAACAAGTGTAAACTAACGAATTCGTAATTTTTGTTAAGGCGCCGTTTTAATAAAATATCTTATAATTAGAGATAATAAAGGTAAAGGAAATCTGATAAGTTATTGTTATTATTATTGGTGCTGTGCTTACTAAACATCTTAATATTAGAGATAAAGGAACTTCTATGTCAGTCAGTAGCAACAGCCACTGCTAATCTAATTTATAATATAATATAATATAATATAATATAATAATTTATTTATTGGAAGTAATAAAAACTCATTTTTGTTAGTATACACACTCTTATTAACTAATATTAGTATACACAAAACACACAAAAACAATAAAATATTATACATAGTAGACACTGCTGGAAATATGTTTTTCACAACAGTGTCTCAAGTACGGACATTGGTTTCTATCCGCTATCAGCTTAAGGATAGGGTTGGGGCTGGCCCGCACCCGGCACACCAGAGATGCGCTTCGTTTGCGGATGCTTGTATAAAAACAATCGACGCGCGCTTCAGCGAACATCCCTGATGCGCTACAGAAGCGGGGCAGCCCCACCAGCACCCGGAACGCGTCATTATATTGGACTCGGAGGGACCCATAGGTCCTCTGCGTGTAGTGCCTCCATAAGCTGCATGTATATAGAGATGTACAGTATGCTCTGAATAATGTTATTTTAACATCCTTCGTACAGCGCGCGAATTTACGGGAAATCATGTTAGCCCTTATGGACAGGGCCATCCGTTCCCGCTCGATGTCCATATTGTCCTTTAGGTCAGCCGTTACAATATGTCCTAAATATTTAAAACTCCTCACCCTTTAGAGTGGAATACTATTCAGACTGATGGGAGGCACTTCAGACACTTTGTAACAGCTGGGTTCGAACACCATGTATTGGCTTTTTTTAACATTGTATTTAAGCCCATGTTGAACGGCGTACTCCTCACACACAGCCAGTAATTTACGTAAGCCACAAGCCGATGCACTGAGCAAAACGATGTCATCAGCATAACTTATATTGTTTACACTCACTGAGTCGATGTGACATCCTACATGCATTTTGCCCAACACATCGAGAAGCCCATTTACGTACACGTTGAAGAGCGTTGGCGAGGTCAACCCTCCTTGTCTCACCCCGCACTCCAACGTATACTGATCCGACATAGTACCCGACCATCTAACGCTGTTGACCTGGTTTCCATACCAGTATCTGAGTATACGTATGGTTTCTGGAGGTAGTTTTATGGCTTCCAACTTCTTCCATAAAACTTTATAGGACACCAGGTCAAAAGCCCTAGATAAATCTAAGAAGCTAGCGTAAACCGGTGTCTTTCTATCTACGTAATATTTGACAGTATGCTTAAGACACAGTATCGCGCTCTCAGTTGATAACCCTGGTCTAAAGCCGAATTGGTTGTGATTGAGACACACATGTTTGTTTAACTGTGCATTAAGCATACTATCAAACACTTTCGCAACAATAGTCGCGAGGGAGATTGGTCTATAATTACTGGAGTTGTACAAATCCCCAGCTTTATTTTTGACTACAGGGATAACAATAGTTTTCATAAAACTCCCAGGCAAATAACAGTGTCTTACACACAGCG